AGTTCAGAAAAAAGAAATTTATAGTCAATTAATCGTAATAATAATAACCAATTAGAGAATACTATTACAGCTTGCTGCATATTTACACGTACTTTTTTCTGAACTTTAAAAAATGATTAAAAATCATGAATTTAATGAAAATAAAAAGTTAACATGTCAACATGTTCATAAGAATAAACTCTAAAAAATGGGTATCTTCAAATTTTTGAAAAATAATAAAATAAAGTTATTTCTTTAAACTTTTTACCGAAATACAAAAAAATTAATTGCAATATAAATATTTGTAGTCCAGTGAGTAATATGAAAAAAAAAATAAATGTAATTTGATTATCTTATTATTATTTCCGGAGATATTACAATGGGTATATCTTCGTGTATTCATGAAGAATGCATCGAGGTACTATAAGTAATAATAATTATCTTGGCCTCAAAACTGTATAATAATTAAGGTAATACTTGGTTAGTTTATATATTTTTTTTTTCAAGGAGGTTAACGAGTTTATCTCTGTGTAAATATTCGGTGCAATTAGACATAACTCTTCCTAAATAATTAATTTATACATAAACAATCCGATAATAATAATACAATAAAAACTCACATTTGTATACGGCCGCGGTGTAGACAGATGGCTATCCGATCCTAAAAACTAAATGTTAACTGATACGAAAGACAATTCACAAAATTATCTAATACTGACGGTACAATCGCAAACGTTAACTTTCGTCGAGACAGTATGTGATGGTCAATCGATCCGACAAACGCGTGTTTAGCTAATTTTACTTGCATTGGCTGCGGATGCAATATAAGACTTGTGGACGGCAACAACGAATTCGTGTTTACAATGGCAAAAATACGAAAAATTATACGATTTGGACTTATTGATAATAGTTATACTGGCGTGACACAGTTTTTTACAATAATTAACATAATCATTTATCAATAATTCACGATAACTACTTATATACTTATCGATAACGTGCATGTGCGATTGCGTGAGTGCTTGATTAGAGTTCTTGGGTCAGAGATGATAAGTCCATTACACGCGTGCCCGAGATGAAACGTGAAAAATTTAAAAACTAATATTTTATTTTTATTTTTAATTATAAATAATAACATCAAACTGTTACATATTTTTTTATTGTAATATTATTTTATTATCATTGTTTTTTTATTTAAAATTAATATCGAAAAGATTACTGGGCCCTACTGAGAAAAACTCGTGTGGAGGTTTAGGGTTATCATAGTTTACAAATAATTCTTAAACATATAAGTACATTCTACATTGTTATGTAAAGAGAAAAAGAAAAAGTTACTGAAAAAATAAATAATTTCAAATTCACGTTACAAGTGTTATTTAGTATAGTTCATATTTAATGTAGTATATTTATTTTTGGTGCTAAGAGCATGGATACTTTGTTATTGGGACATACCTCGTGTGTTTAATTTTAGTCGCAACATATATTCATATGGGAGCCAGTGGGATATTTTTTTTTTGAAAATATGAAGCGGCACGTTATTAGCCACGACACTGGCATTTGGTTAAATATCTGAGTCCCCAGAAAATCGTAAACTTTTCGGCAGCAAATTTTTGTGGGCCATTTTAATTACCAGGTGCATATCTGGTACACATATACACGCATAATATTTGTATATAATTTAATGGCATGCTCGGAAAAAAAGAATATGTTTTTATTAATTTGCCACTCATGGCCTAGATAGAGATCTTTATCTAGGCACTCTAGCATTGACCGGCTACCAGTTTCCGGTGTCGCAACCGTGAACATTTATTTGACATCGCATAGACCGAGGCACGCGGGGACAGATTTAAATACAAATCCGATTAATATCTCGCGCTCGGCCGACGCGATGATTGGCGAGCATTGTCGGCACCGAAAATTATTGTTATATTACAGTTACCATTGTTATAACGACATACCTAACTATAATCATATATTATTGTGTTGACTACAGACAACAATATAGTCGTATAGCAATATTATATCATAATATATAGTTAATCGTACTATTTTCAAAGTACAAATAACTGTTTTTTTTTTTCCCCCGTGAAATATGAAACAATCAGAAAACTTAGGGCACATTTACTTTTTATAAGAGCCGCACTCCCAGAGTAAGCGTACTCTAGCTTAAATTAATGTCTGATTCGCTTCCGTTTTTTGGATTCACTTTTTGAGCGGTCCGGATTCTCTATATCATTATCTAAGTTTAAATTTATATTTACTTAGCAACAGTGAAATCATGACAAAGTCATATTTATTTTGCAACACACATTGTAGTATACAACTATAATAAAATAGCTTTTATCCTTCAATGGTCAAAAACTCTCCAACACTTTAGTTCCATTAATAAGGGCCATCTGATACGGACGATAAATTTATATGCGAAAACGGCCTGGATCTAATTCGAACAGTTTTTCCACAATCGGGAGACTGGTTTTGTAACGTATAATAGATTATAATAATGAAGCTCAACAAATTAATAAAATCAGCTGTAAAAATATTTAAAAAATGCAAAGTTTTACTTTCGAATTATCTGCATCTGTACACTACACAGGCATACACGATTTAATTAGGTACTTTGAAACAGTCGCGTATCCAGAATTTTATTTAGTGGACGGCTGATCAAAATGTATAAATATTGTAATACAGTAAAATAGAAATGTTGTCCTAGGATAACGGAGACGGGTGCAGTCATTGTTATAGGTAATTTAATGTATATCTGTAAGCAAAAATTAACCATTGCTAACGAAAATAAGATTCTGAGCGGAGTTCGGTTGATATTGTTGCTTTGACAACCATATACATGTCACATTTTGGTAAAATAATTACATATGTATTGTATATTTTCTTTTATAATGTTTGTTTAATATTATACCTATTTTCCCGGTTTTTCCCATTTATTGTCAAAACTCTTGGGAAAATTAAAAAATGACCTCTCTAATAAGTACCTCCCCAGTCAGATTTCCAAGTATTACTTTTTGTTAAAAATTGCATGTCACACTTTGAAAGATGTGAATTTTCGCTTAAATAATTTTTTCAAAAAATTGATTTTTATTTTTTTTAAATTTTGAGTGAAGTGAGAAATTTATTGGTTATATGTTTATTTTTATATTTTTTTTTCTGTGAACAACTTTTCTACCAGAAATTTTGCTTAGATTTTTAAGTGTTGCATGTTTTAAAAAAAAAATTTTCATGGAGTGGTACTTAAAGTAGGTAATTTTTTGATTTACTTAGGGGTTTTCATAATAATTCGGAAAAATCGGGAAAAAACGTAGGAAAAACGAGAAAATTTAGTATATCAGTATATTATTATTAAGTATATTCTTTTAAAATCTTATAAATATTACGGCTTCCAAACAATGTGTAACCGTACTCCAGGTCAGAATCATTTTTCGTTAGAAATTATTAATACTTGAGAACAGATATACATAATATTTCCCCTCTACCTTTCCAACTTCTCACCTACAACCGTGGCTCATTCATCGCGCAAAGTATGTCTGTTTTTTAATACGTTTTTACGTTTAGAGAAATGTTCTCTTTTTTTTGCGTAGTACCTTAAAAGATGCGAAATTTATGTGTGGTCGTACTTTGTTTATAATATATATCGATATTTTCAGTAGTTTTCCACTTAGGTCCTATTTTATGGGTTTTGTATTTTGTTGATTTCTGGGTTTTCTTATTGAAAACAATGCTTACGAATAATATCATTATATTCAGATTCGTTTTTAGTTTTGTAAGTGGCTTATCCGTAAGCAGTATTTTTACGTAATTTTTTAGCATTATTAAGTTTTAAAACCATATACGTTACGTATAGTACAGTTTCTCAGTAACAACTCGTATTCAAAACAAATTTAATTAACATAGCAACATCAAACAATAGTTTAACAACAATCCTATTTTAAAACCTAAAAAAAAAAAAAAAAAATCAAAAACCTTTAAATCGTACATTTTAAATATGAACGAAGACAAAACAATACAATTCATATTAGGAAGCAGAAAAGAGTCAATTGGGAATCTTTCTCGAGAATTGAATTCATTATCTACCAAAATAGAGCAAATTCAACCCGCGATACTTAAGTTAAAGATCGAAAATAATAATTTGCAGTATATAAAATGTTCATATTCGGTTAAACTACCTGAAATATACGATAAAAAAAAAAAGCTATTCGAATGTATTATAAAACAAAAAGAGAATAAAAACAAACTTTCGGATGAATTACACAAAATAAAGGTATACTCGTATATATTATTTACTATTGTTATGCCTGTGCGAGTTGTTGTGCTCGTACGGGTTGTTCTATTTGTTCGGTAGTGTGAGGATCCAGTTTTTAGGAGCAAGTACAACAAAGCAGTTCTAAAGATTTTTGGTTACTAATATAATTTTAATGTTAGTCGAACTATATAATTACAGTGTAATATATTATAATAGTCGTTGAGACAACGTGCAGTTTTCAAAGTTAGCTCGACTGACTGCGCGGCTCTCTTGCGGGTGCCGTATGACTACAACATTCTCAGAGCCGCCTACACACTAAGCGTTATCAATAGACTACAATAATATACTCGTATGCTCTAATACAAAGGGCTTATACTACTATGCTATATACATATAGTATATTACATATATTACATATTCTACATATTTCGGATGTTGTTTTTTATATTCGTTGGTCTGATATGAAGCAATGTTAGTTTTAAAATTGATTCATACTACACACGATTAAAACATACACACAATAGTGATATTAGTAGGTTTACAGATGTTTATTGTTTTGAACCAGCTGAGTAATGGCGTTACACTTCATAAAAAAAATGATATATTATTGGAACTTTGTTTGATGTATTAGTAAATGTGTATTTTGCTATCAAATTTATATTATGAAATCTATTGAGTGATATAATAGGCACTCCATAATGATATCATCATGATATTATGACATAACAGCAAAATTAACATTTTTTTCAGTTTGGACTTTATATAACTTATGCCAAATAATGTTTGGTACCCGTTTACTCGTTCCCATAGTATTGAGGTAAACATAACGAACCATTAAAGCACTACAATGTTTAAAGATAACCTAAGTATAATGAAATAAATATAGCAATGTTTTATTTTTCCACCTGCGTACAGATATAATAGTTGTACTAGTACAAGTGGTAGTAGTACAAATATTATATCTGAATATCTGTTGATGGTTTTTACTGTTTTTAAAATAAAACTGCTTGCAATAATTAATTACACACGTCTTTGTTATAGTATCCCGAACAAAGCTTTTTCTCTTAAAGAAAAAAATCTAAATATACATTATATATATTTCATTGGTATATTTTTGATTAGGTAATTTTTTTGTTTTTATAATATTGTAACAGTAATTCGTAGGTAAATCGGAAAATAAAATAATGTACTCGTATGCGTTATGGACGTACATAACTAGGATTTTAAGGTACTGAAGGCCTAGTTATGTATGCCATTGAATGTGTACTGAGGGATACTTCCTAAAAGAATTAAGTACCCTATCAAAGATTTATCTATAGAAGAAACATTTTTAATAAAGTTTGTTTTCAGGAACATTTAAGCTGTCTAAAAAGAGAAACAATAGAGCTGGACGAATTATCTAAAGAGAAAACAGAGGAAGTGCGAAATATCCATTGCGATCATTCATCCACAGAGGTAGCAGTGGAATCCATAACAAAGAAACTATTCGAATTAAAACAGCGCAACAAAAAGGAAGAACAGACTATCCAGGAACTTTCAGTGTGGTTGCAGGAAAAGGACTCACAGATGACAATAAAAAAAGAATCTATTATAGAGCGGCTGGCAAAAAACAATCGATTCGAGGAAATGGCTCGTCAGGAACTAATTGACGCAACCGCTGAGGTTGCTGCCCGGAATGAGGAACAGGGAAACTTAGCTACGGCATATCAAAAACTGAAAGCATCGTTGTCAGCTTATAAGTTTAAGATAAATGTGGAAATCAAAGAGCTCAGTGATCAACAGGACCAATTAACGTGCGCGGTGGCAAACGTGTCCATAAAGCTGGCCGAAAAGTGTGACGCTAATTGTCAATTAAAGGCCCGCGTGAAGGTAAATAGTAACAGGATAAGTAAAATCTTACGTGAAGTCGAGAAGTTGGAACGGTGGGTGCCCCTTAAGAACTCACGAAAGGAATGGCATAAAAAAAAAGTCATGATTGATGTATCTTGTTTCCGCGATCTGAGGGACGCCACGCGAGAAAAGTTAAAGTTGGTGGAGGAGAACTACAATTTGAAACAGACGTTGTTTCAAACCGGTTTATCGTGTCTCCAGAAAGCCACTTCTCTGTTGAAGCAATGTCCGACAAAAAAATTATTGGAGATATGCTATTAAATTGAATACCAAAAATACAATAAATTATAGTGCAAAATATTGTTCCTGTTTTTACATAGATATGAATATTGATTTTACAAATTAAAATATAATTTTGAATAATAGTAATACTACTGTGGAGAGATGACTGATGTGATGATGGACATCAACTTCTCACACAAATGTATGTAGATTAATTTTTGAGTAGGATAGGGAAAAAAATAGTTTTTGATAGTTATTAATAAGTAGGTTATAACAAATTACATACACCAACAAAATTATTTACTAGTGCATCATCACTGATTGTTTGGAGTTTTATTATTATAGTTTTTTATGAAAAAAAAAATGACTCAAAGTAAAAGTAATAATTGCGTCTAACCTAGCCGAACAGATTCAAACGAATTGATATAAATACCGAAAACATTCATTTTACACAGGCGTATTATTTATTTTAGTACTGATAGGTGCGCTATTGTTTTAGGTGGGTAGTTGGTAAAGTAGGTTGCATAAAGTTATTTAATTTATATCTGTAAGCAACAATAAACCATTGTTAACTGAATGAAGTTCGTTTACACATGATTTGAAAGTCTGAAATATTTATGATTTTTATCAACATTATACCTTAAAACCATTCCGGAAAAAAATGGCTGCATTACATTTTACTTTCTTGAACATTTAAGTTAAACTTGTAATGAAATGATTGTTAAATTTTCAAGCATTTCTGTTGTCATAGAGTATCAACCAAATAAATATTATATAAAAAAACTCGTAAAATTAAAATGCCTGTAAAAAGCTCAACAATTGTTCAAATGTTTTTACAATATTACAACGTCTAGAAAAAGCAAATAAAAGTTTTCTGTCAGAATTGTAAGTCTCAACAAAATTGAAAATACTAAAAGCACCATTTTCGTAAATTTTCCCGTTTTATCTATGTTATTTTTTGGATTTGTTCAATTATTAAAAAAATTACACGGAAAATCAAAAATCGACTTATTTATTTACCACCTAGATTACAAATGCAACAAAAAAGATCCGCTGGCATAATATTTTTGGTAGAAAACATTTAGCATAAAACTTTAAAATAATGGAAACGTACTGCCGCCGTTATCTTATCAATTTTAATTAGTCGTGTTTTTCCGGTTTTTTCCAATTATTATGCAAATCCATTGGAAATTCAAAAATGATCGCTTTAACGCGCCAACTAGATGAAATTTCCTATCAGAAAACGTGCTACACTAGGTGATATCTCGTATTCTGATGTCAGATATGAAAAATAACATCATAGTAAAACCAATAGATGCCTAGCTACGCTTCGAATCTCGAATCTAATAATAGATTATTTTAAATATATAAAATGGATTTTATATTTAAGTTTTAAAGTATTTTCGATGAGGGATAAAAATGGCGTTTTTATAATACCATTGTTCGGCTGTAGAGGTACCTATAAATTTTAAAGTCCTCTTTGTTATAATATTTTATACCGACCATAAGATATAATATAATGTTATACACATTCATTGCTTACGACATTACGTAGATAATAAGGTACTTTTAGAGCCCTTTTTTTAATTTATTAACTTTAACCTTTGTGATAAATATTATATTTGTTAAATAACGACTAAATTTTTTAATATCTTTATTAAACATTAATAATATAATAGACGGCCGCGAGTCATTGTTTACAAGTGTGCATTTGATATTATAGTTTGGGTACACTATAGTAGGTAAAGAAACGAACGAGAAGATTATTTTTAATTGCCAACGAACATTTTCTGCTACATAATGTAGGCCTTAATATCATACATGGTTATTTTACATTCTCGGAATTAACGTCTGTGTGGTGTCACCGCGGTTCTGATTCAAAATTCAGGGTCGTTCTCACTAACATAAATGTTTGTTTTTAAGCAGAGTTTATAAGATGGCCGATCATGATCGGTTATTAGTCATAAATTCAATTTTAAAAGTCAGATAAACGGAAACGTTGATATTGGCGAGAACGACTCTTAATGCCATAGTTATAATATTATTATATTTGGCTGTTTGAAACATTATGGTTTCCATAGCTAATTTAGTAAAATAATAATAATAATAATTATTGTTAATTTTTCTTTTGACATAATATCGAATCACTATACAACTCATATAACAGTTCTGAGAGATTTTTGCACCTCGAAAACTTCTGATAATATAAATAATCACTACAGATGTCTAACGCATCATTTTTGGCGACAAAAAACCTTCATTTATTTAAAAAGATTGGCGAGGGAACGTTTTCCAAGGTTTACTTGGTCAAATACGGGGAAATTGTAAACGAAAAATTATTATTGATAGCCACAAAAATAATCAATAAGAATCGCGTATCTCACAAGTTCATCGAAAAATTCTTACCCCGCGAACTCGACATGCTGATCAAGCTCAGACATCCTTACATAATTAAGGCAAGTACACCAATATCATTATATTTTCGGTTAATACGCCTAAGAATAGTGATACAACTCAAAAAATGCAATTTTTGTTTATAATTGCTTTGTTTCGATCTAATTGCGTAGTCGTATTTTTTTATCAGCCGAGGTGATTTAATGATTTGTACGTTAGGTATAATTATTAGTGTTATTTTCATTGTTCCATAGTATCATTATAAAAGTGACGGTTACCGTTAATTGTTGGTGTTTAATATGCCAGCTTAAAAAATTTAATATTTTTATGCTGTGTGAATATTCTTGTATTTATACGATAAACGTACCATTAGAATTTCGACGATACGTAATATCAGAGTCCAACCGTTGGCGTGGACGGAAATGATATGTGGGGAGACTTAGGATATGTCTAACCTACAAAAATATTCAGATGTATCTTCTCGACTATTATAATAATATTTAACGAGCTTCAAACACAACACGAGCATGTATGTGAGGCGCAATATGTTTTGTTTGCAAGTGTTAAGTGCTTTCAAATTTTCAACCGATTTTTGAATATGTAATACTTAGGTATTAACGATTGTGCACTTTTTCAGGAATTAATATAATTTTTCATAATATTATTTGGAGGTTTTTTACGTTGCAGTTTTGGATTTACTAATAATATGATTATGATTACGCGTTTTCGTGTTTACTGTTAATACAGTTTCCCGAAAGTACAAAAATGGGTAAAAACACGTAATTTTAAACTAAATCGTTTTTGCTTTGCTTCTGCAATTTATAACAATATGTCACACGAAATTAATATTTGATTCATTGCCATAAATTTAAAATAATTACACATATTTTTTATAAAATAAATTATATCATACATGTTTCAAACAAATAGACAGTTTTGTGTCACCAACATATTTCGATATTTGGTGTTTCTATGATAAAGACAAAATAGGTAAATTGATATTGTTCTGTGGGCACCATAATAAAAAACAAACATTTATTGACGAATTAATTATATTATAATATGATATAGGTAAATTTTTTTGTACTTCCGCCAAGTTTTATGTTTGAACAAAAATACGTGATTTAGAGCGTATTACCCGATAACCTCTAAACCGGCAACGTTGTTTATAACTAGAGCTTTTTTTTTTTTTAGTAAATCACAATTTTTTTACGCAAACTTTTCTTTTTATTTCACCGTATTTATAGCACCCAAGACGAGTCCGGGACACATCTACCCATGTCATTTTTAATTTTGTTTTATGTTTCGCGATGCGTCCCGACGGAACGGGGAAAATATTTTAACAATTCGGATAAAAACAACCAAAAAAAAAAACAGCGCACGCACACAAGTGTACGACGTAGGTACCTAATAATAATAATATCATGTGCGTGCGATTCGTTTATCCTCGAATAGCGAACCCACGCCGCATAAGTGTAACAGTATTATTTTTAAAGGGATTCTGTGAATTCCGTTAACAACCCCGGTTTCGAATGAAATAAGACCACACGGTGTGCACGGTCACTGTAATAAAACATTTTGCAAACGCCTGGAAATGTTCCGCTAGGTACATATTATATAAGACATACGTTTACAATGCGATAATCAACGGGAGAGGTAACGCCTTTGTATGCAGTCGCTCGCACACATTCACACATACACACACACACACACACACACACTCAACATTGTTCAGGTTTTTATTGTATTCGAGTTAATTCTTTTGTAAGACCGTTCGGTTCGGTATTTACACAATACGCAATACGGATTCGTCGGTGTTCGGTGTTCGGGGTGAACGCTTAAACATTATGTTAATATTATAATCGGTTTAGGAGGCGCTGTATTTTTTTCGAAACGTTAAAGTCATTTATTTATTTCCATAATTATATGTATTTTTTTTTTTTTTTTATTGCGTATGCACATGACATTTTCACGTGCTACAAACTCCGGGCCGATTTTATTTGTGTTTAGGATTGTTTTTAAGAGGACGTTATACCCGCATCCACGGTCTCGGTCCGACTACCGGGTAACGTCTAAAAACAATGCTTACGCAGAATAAGTAAAACCAGCTTAATTTCGATTTTAGAGTAAAAGTACCTATTATGAAATTTATAGAGAACAATATTTCGGAGAGAATACCATTGGTGTTTTTTGGATCATGAACTGTTAACAAATTACAGTTATTTAAAAACAATAAAAAAAAAAACGAAAGGTTTTTGTATCTATTACACAGAGCTGTATATTTTGAATACTATAAAAACCCTAAGACGTTTTCTTCAAAATAACGCTCTCCATAAATTCCATAATAAGTACGTTTACTCTAAAATCAAAATTAAGCTAGTTTTACTAATTCTGCGTAAACGTTGTTTTGCGTGTTACCCGGTAGTTGGATCGAGACGGTAGATGCGAGTTGAGCGTCCTCTTAAGAACCTGACGTGCTCACACACTGCCGCGACAGCGGTTGTCGGTAGCCATAGGGATATAGTAAACCGCCGCCGTGTTCGCTGTGATGGTGACGGCGGTTAACTGTATTATTTATTTACCTGTACCTATAGACGTTTTGTTTGGCAATAATGTTATTATAATCGATTTTTAATTGTTTATGTGACCCGCCGAGCCGATTTAAGAGTTCGTGAGAATATAACGGTGTAATGATATTATATGATATTGTCTAATCAACTGGTTGGAAACTATACGTTTACTGCCCTAACGTCAATTTGAACGTCTCATTATATCATGCGATCACTACGGCTATAATGTGCCGTATATCATATTATAATAATATTTAACTTTATATTTAATTTTGTTTACAATCGTTCACATTTTAAAGAAGGCATCTGTTCAAAAAAACGATAATTTCCAGCGGTGGAGGTGAAATTCGGTCGTGCAGCGATTTTTGTAAAAACCGCGACACGATATTTTACCGCTGCAGTGTGTGGAACAAGATAAGAATAGTTCTATTGAACCGCTATCGCTACCGCGGCAGTGTGTGGGCACCTTTATTCCGGGAACAAACATTGTTTTGTTTTTTTTTTTTTTTTTTTTTTTTTTTTTTTTTTTTTTTTATACAAAATAATAAAAACTATACCGAATAGTAGTAATGGTTGTTGTTCAATAAAAATATAAAATCGACCGTGTCATAATTATAAGACTGCCCCTGCTGGTACGCTGGCGTAACCGGTACCTATTGGTTTAGTGATATGTCGAATAAAAAAAAATCAAATCAAATTCGATGGCCACAGGTGTACAGCATATACAAGTACGGTTACAAGATCTTCATAAACATGGAGTACGCGGAGAACGGGGATTTGTACACGTACCTACAGTCTAACACGCTGACGGAGCCCCAGATCCGGATGTGGACCATGCAAATTTTGTGGGCGTTTCGGTACATGCACACCGCCGGCGTGGTGCACAGGGATATGAAGTGCGAGAACGTATTGTTGACAGGCAACTTCAACGTGCGAATAGCTGACTTTGGGTTCACTCGGTTCGTGGGCCGGGGCCGTAACCCGGGCGCGGACACGGTGTGCGGCACGCTGGCGTACTCGGCTCCGGAGCTGTTGGCCGGCACGAAACCGTACAACCCGATGGCCGTGGATGTGTGGGCCATCGGAGTCGTGGTGTTTATGATGGCCAATAACGTGGCGCCGTTCCGGGATAAGTTCAAGGAGGACATGTATAAGAAACAGGTGAACTGGTGGTGGTGGTTTATTCCCGGTTATTACAGTAATAATATATCACCCGGGTTTTTTTTTTGTTTTTCACAAACTGCGAGTTATTTACGGACGAACTTCGCAAAACAATAATAGTATAATAATAGTAAACAATAATAGTGATAACCGATAGGCGCACAGATGTAGATAATAAACTAGATTGTTAACTAGTGATAACAACCGACGCGCGACGCCAAAAAAATTCTTGTTGGCTGTGTGCTCCGTTATTGTGCTATCATAATGTAATTGTTATTGTATTTTAAATGCAGGATTTTAAGAATATAAATGCATATTTCAGTACATTTTCGAAGTTTTTTTAAAAACAATTTAATTTAACAACGAAATGTATAGCAAAATTGCATACAATTCGAACAAATTAAAAAAAACAATTGTATCACACGCTGTAACGTTTTTATTATAAATTAATATGTAATATTAAAAGAATAATAAATAAAAATTAAATACTCAAAGTAAAAAAATTCAAAAAACACAGATTTGAACAAAGATGCATATTTGGTAATTGTTTAGTGTATAAATGCATACATATTTGACAGTTATTTTAAGTGTATAAACATCCTAATCCTACTATTATTATTCTCATTATTATTTGTATTTTTTTTTTTTTTTTTAATAGTTTGTTTTATGCTATACGGCCGAAAAAATTCTGGTCTAGTATGACGTCATTTATCAATAATCGGTTTTGTTTGGCTAGCGGATTTTGGCTTTGACCGTATATCTATTAACCGTGTAACGTAATACTTAATTTATAATTATTTTTGAGTTCATGCATGATTATTTAGGCATGATGATATTTCCAACTATGTATTATCACGACGATAACAATTGATAAAATACCATAGCCCTTAACCAACATGGTAGAAATGCGGTGTCCCCCGGTTTGCTTGCCAATTTATACTAGTTAGCAATCTAGTTGATAACCTATATCTATGGATAGGCGTAGCTTTTGATCCACTGTTTATAATTTAATCCCTCGGGTCTATTATAATAATATTATCAAACAATTTTTTTTCAAATCGTATTTAAAATTAAAAATCATTTTAAATATAAAAACAATTCGTAACTGTGAATACACGCGTAGAATTCCTACCGAAATAAAATTTAAAACTCGATTCGAGTGAAAAAACGGAGTAAAATATTTATTTCGAATTTTATAATAGTTTTCGTAAATGTTGTATCTATAATATGATATAAATATAGTTCGAAATTCACTGCAATGTCGGAATTCGTAAAATATACTTAATATACTCGAAAATAATATTTTGTACAGATTTTCTTTTGGTTAACCTCATCGTGTCACAGACAACAATTATGTAATTCCATATCTCATTATATTATTTTTGTAATCCTATTTCTCAACGTGTATTAGGTATGGTAATGTGGGAGAATGGATTTTTCTCATTCTCTCATCGTCCTATGATTTTTTATTTTTACCTCCACGTCTTATAAATATGATAATCTTATTTGTATTACTAGCGTTAGTAATACAGTTTTTCATATTTCATCATGTACAAAATAAAAAAAAGAGCTGATAATGCAGCTGAGGATGCTACTGCTATACGTGGAAAGTCTGAAAGGTAGAATACACAGAGTTTTAAATTTATATCTATATGCAATAATAAATTGTTGCTTACGAAATACAATTCTGAGTAATGTTTAACAATCATATCTACAAAAACCAAACACAAATTAAAAAACTAAAAATAAACGAAAATGTCAAATGTCTATATCAAAATAGCTCAGAAGTCGTCAGAATGTTTTGAATATTTTACTTCGTCTTGGAAAGGTTAATATAAATGTCTTTCCAAAATTGTCAGATCTCTACGATTTTTCAACCGTAATACAACAAAAATACAAAAACGAAAATAACGAAACCGTTAATGTCGTAAACTTTCCCAGTTTTTAAGTAATCAAAAAAATTACAAGAGTTAAATTAAAGCTAGAAACTAAAAAAAAAAAAAAATCAAAAAATTGATCTCTTCTTAACACCCGAACTAGATCCAAAATGATACAAGAAGTTTTCTTGTTGTTTTTTTAATGGGACGAAATTGTTGGTAGTAAAAGTTGTTCACAGACACGAAAAAAAAAACACATCTTAATTAAACCAATACATTCTTCAGTACACTTAAAATCTAAAATCAATATGTCGTTTATTGAAATTAATTCCCGACCCCATTCATAATATTGTCGACCCTTAATACGGGACCGATGGTTTTAGGAAGAATCGGATTTTGTTTCGTAATGGTTTTAACACACGTGTAACCGCAAATTCTTCATCGAACAATAAATCCTGTCGCGAGATACTGCGTGTATCGTCTCGAATTCCTATTTTTTACCAAGAAAATATGCGGGGGCAAAGTTTTATGCTATTTTTGTTTTGTCTCAGCCGTATAAACTTATAAAAAGAAACCGGAGATCGTCGTGTTTGACGATTTTGAGGGCCATTATATTACATAAGCTTTTCCACGAGATTTGTTGCAGTAGATCCTTATCGTACATTATCCATCACTCTAGTCGACAACATGCAACGGAGAAATTTACCACTTTCGCATAGTCATTTTCAAGATAAAAAAAAACTGATGAGGCCATTGTTATTGGTGGGAATGGGTGAAGCTGGAATATATATTGATTCAGTTTTGTATATGGGAAGTCATTTTTTAATTTTCCCTGCTGTTTTCATAATAAATAGCAAAAGCTGAGAAATACAGGAAAACAACATAGGAAAACAGGAAAATAGGTACAATATTAAATAAATATTATTAAAGAATTAGAATTATTAGAATTGTTTTTTCATAAGTAATAGTTTATCGTTGCTTACAGGTGTAAATTAAATCACCTATAACTCCCGTCACCATTATCCTTGGACGTTTTTTTTTAATTCAAGATAAATTTTTTTTTTAAAACCGCAAGTTAATAATTTGGTATGTTTAACATATGGATAGGCCAAGTTTAACTTTTTGTTAAAAATTACATGTCATACACAAAAGATGTGAATTTTTGCTGAACGGCATTTTGTTTAAACAATTTTTTCAAAAAATGGATTTTAATTTTTTTTAAATTAAGCGGAGTGGGAATTGTATTCTTATAATATAACGATTAACTATATAATAGTAACTAGGTACCTACCAATATCAATTTATATGTCAAAAATATTGGAATATCTACATTAAAGTTTAAATTTATTTTTTTTTCTGAGTTTAGGTAACTAAACATTTTGGTTTTCGAAAAGTATTGGGTCGAAGTGATTATCTTAAGAGATTTACTGCCATGTTTTTGGAACCAAATGTTCAAGAGCGTGTACAAATTAAGAACGCATTACAGAGTTACTTTATAAAAATTGGAAATGTCAAAACTCCCTCAAAAGTACAAAATACTGCCACTGAAGAAAACAATCATATTTCAACCGTTCCGATTATCAATGAAGTTACAATGAAGTCAAGCAGTTTTACTTATCAAATTTCAGGAAATGTAAAATCAATTAGTTTTTTTAATACTGAATTTATTCCTGTTGAAGATTCCGAAGCCGGGATTTTTAGAGAAGACTAAATTGTAGAAAAAAAGCTGATATTGGTTGCATCACTGTTGTAGGGGAAAAGTTTTGAAGTTAGGAAACAAAGTAAATAATTTATACCGACAGTAAGGGAAAATTTATGGAAACAAATCTCAAATTAATTTTTTCACATTTCTAAACAAAGACAGTTATGATTTAAAAGTTATAACTATACAAATTTAAAAATATTTGTCAAAAGATGAAACCATGTAACCATGTACTATTATGTTGATGTTTAGATATTTAACTATACCTCCTAGGTATTTATCTCATTAATTTTGAAAACTTGAAAATAATTGAATTTAATGTATTAGTATAAAATTGTTTTTATAGGTACATATTTGAGGTTTTCTTCTCACAGCCATTTACTTATCCCACTTACGTATTTAAAAAAAATTGTATATAAATTTCCTGTTATATCCTAACCTAACTTAACCTAACTTAAGATGCAAATTAGGGTTTTGTAAGCAACGTTTACTGTGTGGCACATTAAGTGTATCATGATAAGAGCGGTGAAGTGGCAAAACTTTAGATTAAGAAGCATTTGTTTATTAAGCTGTATATTCATATATATGTAATACAATGATAAAAAGTAATATTTCATATAAAAATATTCATTATATTATAATAAATTAGTATTTTAAATCACATGAACTATTCCCTTGTTTTGGTTATATAAATTTTATGTTATTCTAAATATGATGCAACTAGACCACACATTTTTTTAATAAAACTATGCATAACAATATGACTTTAAATAGATTTTAAATATAAAACTAATATAGGTAGTTAAATTTTTGTTTTCGCTAGATGTTTATATTTTTTAAATTTTATTTAAATAACATAAAATAATTAGTCACAAATTTAAAACGTTATCTATACTAAGTATTTTATTCTAAAATGTTTATCGATACAGTTCAAATAAACTAAGTTAAGAAACACGACGAAACTTCATGCAAATATTAAACTCTAGCTTTTTCTTTGAGGTAAATATTACTTTTGTCAGATAAAATAAAAGTCTAGTTAGTCAGTTGCAAATGATAAATCATAATTAGGTAACTACATATAATTTCTTTTTGTATAAAATGTACATGATGTTTATTAATTAAAAAAATATCAAACTTTTAAATTTTGATGAAATTTGCAATTGCTTTAAGTAACTACTATAAAACACATTTAAATAATTATAATTTATCCATCATAGGAAATTGAAAGTAGATATTAATATTTTCAAAAAATTGTGTGTCATACATTATAAGTTAATTTCTGACAATTTATGGAAATATATAAACAAGTTCAACTAGATTTGTTGGACGCTATTGGACAAATTTAAATATTATTGGAATTAATTTTCACTGGTTGTGCCAGAAACCATCTATTATTTTTTACTACTGCATATTTGTTCAGAATAATTTTTTTACAACACAAATCATCATGCTAAATATATTAATGTATATTATTATTATGAACTAATCTAATCATGATTCGAGTAATAAATTTAAATTACTTAGTTATTGTATTATAATAACAAATTTGAAAGTTGTCAACAGTGTCTAACATATCGAGAAGAACATAATATGTAGTATAATGTCCAAAAAAGTAGCAAAACATTTTTTTCGTAGTAAAAGTCATAAAAGCGAAGTTGCAATTTTTTTAATGTTGTAACCTAAAAGTCGCAAAAAGTTTGTTAAACATTTGCACAATTTTGGAGTCCCTTGAACTAAAAAGGTCGCAAAAAAATATGTGTAAAAGAGTATGTATTAAATAAATTTTTTTTGTTTCGTATTTTGGGGATGAAAATATAAATTTATTTTTCTCCAAATCGATGTCCCCCTCGAAGACCAACTTATTGAAAAAAAAAAAAAAAAAAATGAAAAAAAATTTAATATTAACAATCGAAAAATGACAAGTTAAAAAAATTAGCTTTTTATTCAATTAAGTTTTCATATTAATTAGGAAAAACCAAACAATTTAAATTGATAATAAAATAATAAAGTAAACAAATTATTAAAAATGGTTAATACTCGTATATAAATAAATTAAATAAATATGTATAAAAAAAACATTTATGTATAAAAATAAAATAAATAAATGAATCAATGCGTCACCACCTGGAGTATTATGATAAGTGTATTATACTACCGGTTTCGAATTGAAAATTCATCATCAGGTATCACATGTCGCATTGATTCATTTATTTATTTTACTTTTATGCATACATTTTTTATTTATATATTTATTTATATTAATTAAATTGATTAATATTTACGGCAACGTGGCATCCCGGTTTAATTTTTTAATTTTTGTGGACGATGTTTTCTACCATAAAAATTGTTCGAATGGAAAAACGAAAAGACTATTTTTTTATTAAATTTTTAATCTAGTTTATAAGTATTAATTTGTTTTTTTGATTTTCTTGATATTTTTTTTTAATAATTAATAAAAACCGGCAAATACTGAAAATGAAAACTGATAAATTTATAGAATTAGAATTTCTTTATTTTAAATTTGTATGTCTTATGTTTTCTAAAAAAAAACATTGTTTTTTTTGTATATTTTTAATAATTTATTATAACCATAAAATACGTAGAAATAACAGGTAAATTTTCGAAAATATTTCATTTAGTCTTATAAAAAATGTATAATCAAAATTTTCTCTGAATCGTTCTTCGTTAACAATGATTCACAGTTGCTTACAGATATAAATTAAATAACTATTAAGGTAGAATATTATACCTTCCCAACTTTTCACCTACAACAGTGGCACACCCGTCCCCAGTATCAACTGTTTTTTGAATATTACAATTTATTAAATCGTTTTGAATTATAAAACTATTAAAACTGTTAAACAATTCAACATTATTGTATTCTTTAATTTATGAAGTTTTTTTTTTGTTATAACTCATCTGTAAGGCTGGAAGTTTTTACTCTTTGTATTTTTATTCCTTAAAGTTTTCTTAATAATTGGGATAAATGGAAAATTTGAGGTCTAATGTTGGTTGATTTTTGGTAGTAAAAGAAAACCCATGACTAATACTATTCTACTCAGAATCTATTTTTCAAATATATATACGTTTATCACGTTGGGTTATAATACACTTTTACATAATAAGTTAATTTTTAACCCAGGAAACGTTTTACGAGAATGTGGCCTGTTACCATTAAAATACTTTAAATAATGTAAAAAAAACAAAAACAGTACCCTTAAGCAGCAGTGTCGAATTTCTCCAACCAATTCTGTATCTTAGAAACATTATTTGTAAAAAAATAAATTACTTTATTTTCAATAAAATTTCCAAAATAATGGTGAAATTTAGCGATTTCAAAACAAAATATAATATTATATTATGTACTCATATATTGATTTCTGACAAATAAACATTGCGAAAAGGAATGATAATTTATTTTTACTCGTTTTGTACATAAAATAAATATAATTTGTTCGAACTTTAATAATTTACTACTACTATTAGCTTTTTATTTGAGTATAAACATTTAACAACTATAGATACTTATGCCATAATAGGTAAACTTTTGTTTTGTACATTCTGTTCGTATATCGGTGAAATTATCTCGTGATGCGGTAAACTATCCGTAAGTCTAGATTAAGACATATGAAATGAATGTCTATATTATAGTCTCTGTTGTGTTATGGACAATCCGTAAACATAAATTTGTATAATTGACTGTGTTGGCTGTTGTGGCTTAAATCCCATAAGCTCGAGCGTGACCGTATATGAATGTATTTAGCGAAATCCTATAAATGATAACTCAATTTTAGTCATGCAAGTAGAAAGACGCAATGGAAATCTAAAATATACAATATTGTTGTTACACAAATATAACAACCATCTTTTGTTTATCGTGTACCATTAATTTAAAAAATATATATAGTACATATATAATATACAAGGAGTTTTTTTATTTTATTTTATCACCAACGATTTTCTGTGATGACTTTTTTTTTAAGAATTTTAATTACATTGGTTCGTATTATTATTTTAAACATTTCACTTAATTTCAAATATGTAAATTGTAGGTACACCAAAACACCTTAAAGAATTATCCTAGTTTTGACTCCCAAACAGCACTTTATTGTATACATATATATATTAATTTGAAATAATATTTTTAATTAATATAGAATAGAAAATAGTTAACACAAAATTTTATATTGCTTTTCATTCCTCGGTATTTATTTGAATTGTAAGCATTGTATAGGTTAAATTTTGTAAAAAAAATTTTTATCATAAAATAATCTCAGGTTAATGCATAAAAAAAAAAAAAAAAAATGAGTGTCTACATAATAATATTATAGGATTGTAGGAGTAGAATCTTTGAATCGAAGTAGGACCGACAAATCGATGTACGCAGTACACTTCGTTACCTGTTTAGAACACACTATTTTATAATACAAACGAAATTTCCAATTTGCGTACCAATTTAAACATTTATTTAGATACCATGTTTTTAATTTGCCATTACTTATTAATACATTTCGATACATTTCGTATATTTCGACTTAGGTAAAATAAAAGAATATAGAATTAAAAAACCAACTAAATCGACAAAATAACTATTGAGACAAAATTGCTATAGAAAAGAACATGTTAAAGTATTCTTCCTAGAAAAATCACCATTATCGGCAAAACGTTTGATTTCTCATATTATATTAAATCTAAACTAAAATTACACAAAAAAACTAAGTGAGAATTGATTTTTCCGCATTTATTATTTGGAACTTTTGAACTAATGGTTTTAAAGATTTCGATTTTTCCATAGTTTTATATTTCTTTAAAATGTAATAATAATAATCATTAAAAGTACGAGTTGTTCAGTGTATTAACTCCATTGGTTTTGCATCTAAATCGCCTTTTAATGGTAGACTTTACTGTTTTAATCGGTCTAGCGTGTTCGAAATTACTAAATTCTGCCCAGCAATAATAGTTGTGAGCTATTTTGAACACTATTATTGTAGAGAGTTTTCGATTTAACG